TAAACAGCCTACAGTATTTTTGCAGTCTTTATTTTACAGTTAAAATATATGTTTATTAAATAAAGTCTAATGTTACAACTAATCAGGGATCCCTTTAAGAAAATTAATTTGAATTCTGTCTGCTGTTGGTTTCCTCTTTAAAATTACACTCTTCACACACACTTCAACCCTGCTCCTCGTGAACCACTGTCCTGCATGTTTTAAATGTTTCCCTGCTCCAGCACACCCGACTCAAATGACTGAGTGATTGACAGGCGTCTGACAAACTTGATGAAAGGAGGAGGTAATTCAGTTATTTGAGTCAGGTGTGCYGAAGCAAGAAAACAGCTGGARCATGCAGGACAGAGTGTGATGTAAGAAACAGCGTTGAAGACCTCTGTTCTAGTAGGATTTTCAAATGTACGTGCTGGAATTTTAAAAACAAACAAAACAAATCAATATGGCAGAATTAGATAATTCCAAAAGTGAGAGGCTCATTGGACCTGACATGAATGACCTGCATTTAAAACACAAACAGACAATAAAACTCCAGCTTTTTTACACCTTTAATTATAAACAATTGTGGGTATTTGCAGGTGCAAAGAAAAGCAGCAGCAGCTAGCTGTAGCACTGTTAGCAGGAATTTTGTATTTTTTAAAAGCAAGAATTTTTTTTTTCCACAGTGCGAGGTTCGACAAATCTTATTGCCCAACTGCCCGGGGCAGGTAAAACTCATATTCGGGCAGTGGGTGTGTCCCGATGCCTGCCTGACTGGGCAGGTAAACAATTTCTTTATTTTTTTTATAGGGCCATTTATTCAAAATATTCTGAAAATAAATGAAGAAATATAGCATTTTAAAACACGTATAGAGAGAATAAATCCTCAAAATTTCCCCTTCCCCTGTAGAAAGGTTACGTCATGCTGTGTGTCGCGGGATCACCCCCCACCCCCTCTCGCTGCACGTCACGCAGTGCGAAGCTTTAACAACCGTATTTTTTTCACACCCAAGTTGTCGGAGAAAAAAAACTTGTTTTTTATGTATTGTTACCCACAGAGATGATAAAAGATTTGGACGTTCGTTCAGTCATAAATCCATCTTGCTAATGTCGGCTTGAGCTCTGAGCGCAGCAGAGCAGCGGCTCAGTTCAACAGGCTCAGCCAGGCCAACATTGCTTTTGGCTTCACCACTCTTACATTCCAGCTATCTGAAATTGTTTTATGAGTACATTTTTGGTTCGTTTTATTTAGCTTTCTTATTTTTAAAACTTGGAGATCTTTCCAGCTTGAGCTTGTTTGTTTGTTGAAGTTGAATTTTGAAAAATAAAAGGGCACATATGATAGTTTTTTTCCTCACTCTGCACTCTTTTAATTCAGGGTAGGGTTTACTTTGTTTAATGGTTTACATAGATTATTTTGTTTTTATAAATGAAAGAAACAAACAAATAAATAGACATCTCTTCATATATTTTGACAATTCAAAATACCAATTTAAGATATCTCTAATTATAATCTGACTAGTAWAAATAACGTCAGATTTATCATTAAGTTGTACTCCAGTTCAAGACATCTTAAATGTATCTTTACATATGAGAGACCAGAGATTCTTAACCTGTGGGCCGCAAGCGCCACCTTGAGGGCCTCAAAAGAACAACAGTTTTTAACTTTGGGCCACAGAGGGCCGTGGGACCGCATTGATTTTGAATAAGGTGCAATACACTTCCTCACCACTAGTAGCAGTAGTGCACCACTCAGATGTTTAATAACTTTTTTAATATGTAGAACAAGAACCTTAGATATCTGCCGAAAATGGAAACTTATTTTAAATAATGAAAAGTAGCACAAAAATGTATGGAGGCCAAAAATAAAAGGCCAAAGTTTGTCACTAATATGAAGAAGGGCCTACAGCTTTTCTATCATGCAGTATTTTAAAAGTTCAAAACATTATTAAATACAGTTGCAGATACAGCTATATTTTAATTTGCACTTTATCATATTATATTTTGTAGTTTATTTTTTTAATATTTTAATGTATTTTAAAGAAGTTTTAAACTTGTCAAAAAGCTGTTGTTACGGTTATTGTTTGTCACTAATATGAAGAGCAGCTTCTGTTTCTACCATGCAAAAGTTTAAAAATGCTATATTTTCATTAAGTTGCACTTTAAATTAATTTTTGTAGTTTATTTTTAAACATTTTGAATGTATTTTAAAGAAATTTTAAACTTGTCAAAAAGCTGTTGTTACTGTTATTGTTTGTCACTAATATGAAGAGCAGCTTCTGTTTCTACCACACAAAAGTTTAAAAGGGCTATATTGTCATTTGTACTTTAACAAAATCAGTTTTACAG